GCCAAAATATGGCAACCCTACTTTGATTTCAATTTATTTTAATACCATGCAGTTTATTTAAATAGATTTATTACCAAATTGTAGCCGAATAGTTAGGGTTTTGTTTGGTATATGACTTGCCCAGGTAACTATTAACCAAAATTGTTTACAAGGGGTATGATTTTAAACATCAAAAATTTTTCATACATTTTATGCAATTCATAATTATATGTTCACAAGTTGAGATTTTTTATAAACTGTAATTCACTATTTTCAATAAAATTATTTGATTTTGAATTAATATTTATTTATAGAGAATAAAATAATTTTAATAAAATTACAGTTTCGTAAATATTTTTATTAAAACATTGAATTACAGTTTGTAATAAATCACAACTTGTAAGCATATAAGTATGAATGGCATAAAATGTGTGAAAAATTTTGCATGTTTAAAATCATACCCCTTGTAAAAAATGTTGGTTAATAGCTACCTGGGCAAGTCATATACCAAACAAAACCCTAACTATTCGGCTACAATTTGTTAATAAATATATTTAAATAAACTGCATGGTATTAAAATTAATTGAAATCAAAGTAGGGTTGCCATATTTTGGCCGCCCTCTATTACTCTAGAATAAATATATTTTTTAATTACTAGTACAATTTTTACATTTTAAGGCATTTAATTTTTATGCCCATACGTTCGTTTTGAATTGTAAGTGCATATTAATTAACCTCATATTTAATTGACCTTTTAATAATCATTGTACATCATATAATATATCTTGATTACTTAATAATCTATTTAAGTATTACATAATTCAATTATTATTTTTAGAAATTGAAATATAATGTTTTATTAATAATTATTAATTAATTTTCTCAACCCTAATTATATTTATATTGCTCAAGTTCAATGTAGTATAAATTACTTATTTAAAATAATTTTTTACGCTATTCTTATACAATAATTATAATATATAATTATACAATACTTATGTTTACAATTATATTGATGCTTACTAATTACGTTTATTTTAGATTTTTACCTTGAACTTAAATATAATTACTATTAAGTACATTACATATTAAACTCGAAATCAGTAACCTCTTAATATTGATAAGCGATTCATAGGAAAATGTTATCCAATTAAATGTTTTACACATACCTGTGCCAACATACAGACCCCACAAACAGTCTATTGTTTGAATTTATCGGATAATCCTTCAAAAGTTAATACCTCAGAGACCCTGCTTAGATTAGTACTAACAGTATAATACAAGATAAATATAATAAAATAAAATAAATAATCGTATGATATAATGTCACCTGCTAATATTACAATGTTTTCAGCGTTAAAAATGTAACATGGACCATAGATATAATCAGAAATGTGGTACTGAGCACAATTTATCAGCTGAGTACTAGGTAACAATTTATATAAATAGTCAGGGATAGATATATAATATTAGTATTAGTGTTAAATTTTAAATGAAATTATTAGACATGAAAGGGTTTATAATTTTCACCTTGTTGTTTGTTGCCGCTAATGCGGTCCCATTTCTAGACAAATTACGCGAACCACACGCTGGAAAGACCTGGGTAGTATTAGCTGCCAGCTCCGAGGGCTGGGACAATTATGGTATGGAGGTATGTATGTCCATTCACTGCCGTAAATAACCAGCTAGTCACCTAAAGTTATTAGTATAATAAACATGATACATGATAATTAATTTACTGTAATTAATTTAAGATATCGAAAATTAAAACTTATTTAATAAATTATAATTTAATGATATATATATTGTGACCCCCTGTAGGCCGACGTATACCACGCCTACCAAGTGGTGCGCAAACACGGAATACCCGACGAAAACATAATTGTTATGCATTACGACGATATCGCTCACCACAAGAGTAACCCCACACCCGGTGTAGTCGTCAACCGAGTGAACGGCACCGATGTCTACAAAACGCCGTACGAAGTGCCCAAACACTACACCGGAAAGGAGGTCACCGTTGAGGTACGTGTGGAGATATATTATCATGTTCAAATATTATTTTAATAGCAATTTGTTATTTGTTTATTTGAAGAACTTCTTGGGTATCCTTAAAGGAGACCCGAAGTTAGAGAAAGCGGGCAAAAAAGTACTTAAAAGTGGACCCAATGATCGCGTATTTGTCCATTTAAATGACCATGGTGGTGATGGTAAGATATATAAATCTATTAAAATTCTAGCAATTTTTATAAGATAGTTACTAACTTAATTGACAGAGGTGGTATTTTTCCCTAATTTCGAGACTACATTATCGGCCAAGGACTTGAATGATGCTCTCATTGAAATGCACAAACAAAATAAATTTGCCCAGTTGGTATTTTACCTAGCTGCTTGCGAAGCGGGTATGTTATATCTAGCAAAATGTTTTATCAATATTTCAAATTAATTATATTATACTTGGTACCAAGGTTCAATGTTTGCCAAACTGTTGCCTAACGATATCAATGTGTACGCTATTACCGCTACTAAGCCTGGTGAATTAGGTTGGAAAGCCGAAAGTGATCATGGCACATATGATACGTGGGTTGGTACGTATCTTATTAAAGTCTATAATAATTTCTCCATGGTTAATCAATAATGTACGCATAATAGCTACCTTTTTCACGGTCGTATGGCTCGATGACAGTGAAAAAAGTGATTTGACCAAGGAGCTTATTTCCGGTCAATACGACTACTTTGTTGAGCATAATAATTTCACCATGGACGGCTCACACTATTCGCAACACGCCCAACAATATGGCGATTTGAGTATCGCAGCTAAACAACACGTGTCCGATTATCAAGGTATAAATTTGATTAGTAAAATAAAACTAATTTAAAATATTTTATAATTAATTGATCATGAATGTTTTGGTCAATGATAATTATTTTAAGATTTAACGTATTATTTATTTGATAATAATTAATTTTTTAACATAACTTAAATAATATTAACTTTTCATTTATTATTTATAATTATCTAGGTGATAAAAAAGCTCCAAAAGTACATTCCGGTGCTTATAAACCCAGTGGTTTTGCACCTATTAGAGGTTCACAATTGTTCAAGCTACAAAGTCTAATTAAAAACACAAATGATGCTGATCAAAAGTCACAGTAAGTCAACTAGTTACAATTTGTTTATTATTAGAATTTTTATTAATTTATTTTTATGTTTTAATTTCATAGATATGTATCGCAATTGAATGCATTGCTAAACAACAGACAAGTGTTGGACAAACAGATCGATGAATATGTGAGACAATTGCCGGCAATTGACGCCAATATCGCATTGAATGGCAAACTAGAGCTCAATAACAGAGACTGTTATAAGAAACTGATCGACACTTTCAATCAAAAGTGCTATGGATTTAGCAAAGTATGTATAAAACAATTTTGTCAATAAATAAATTAATAATTTTTAAATATTAATCTATTTTAACAGAACACATATGCTATAAATAAGCTTGGTGTGTTTAGAAATATTTGCGAACAACTTAATGGTGAAGTTGATGAACAAATTGCTGTTAACACAATGATTAAGTACTGTTCCGAAAATGTTAACCATGGTCACAATATTGTGTAAAAATTTTGTGTTAAACTTATCACTATAATAAAAACAAGTTTGAAATTAAGACTTTTGTTGATTTTATTTAATTGTTTAAATATGAGAGAGAGAGAGAGAGATTATTATATTGATATTATTATCTTGATACTATTATATTGATTATGCTATTTATAATAATTATATTTAGGCATTGGTGCCAACTTTATATGTTACTATTTTCAAAAATTTGAATGTCCTGGATATTGTCACGAAATTAAATAAATTAAAACAATATTAATTTAATTAATCAATATAAAATAAATATGAAATAATATTATATAAACTAATTTGATTAAAATACATTGATTGAATAATAATAGTATAAGTCAATAAATACTGTCGACTTTCGATATAGTGTATGGCTTGGTGCAAGCCGATTTCGTATACTATATCGGGAGTTCACTATACAGGGAGTTAATTAACATTACAGGTATACTGTACAGTGGCCGCCAAATTACAATTTTTCATTCACTATAATGAGAGTTCACTATACAGGGAGTTACTATATCGAAAGTCAACAGTATAAGTACTGTAATATGTACTAAAAATAAAACTAATTATATTTATTTAAGATTGTATTTCTGGATATTTATATTTCATAACAAAATTTAATCATGTCAAAATAAATATAGAAACCAATACAAATTAATTAATTAAATTGATACAAACATATTAATGATATACAGTGTATATATTATACACTATTTTAATTATTTAATAGATATTACATTGATTTATACAATATAAGTCTATCATTAAAATTATTTATAAAAACCACATTTCCTTTGTATTAATCATGAATTCTAAACTCATTAATAAAAAGAATTACAAAATCTTGTGTCACGTGTTATGTCTGATGGGATGTGTGTATCAAACGTATAAAATAAGTGAACTATACTTCGGATACCAAACCACGACTAATGTTATGTACGGTATGGCTAACAGACTAACACTACCGGCGATTACAATATGCCTTAAAAAGGAGTCCGTATTAAAGCCTGAGTTCACGTATAACTACACCACGTATTCAAAGAGTAAGAAATACCCTGATATCGTACACTATTTAAACACGCTGTCGGTCAGGGATCAAATGGCAGCCATGAGAGCACCGGACGATATATTCGCATGCGTCCTACAAAATAACAATGTCTACACTCAGGGTAAACCCATTGATGTGAAAAATTGGATACATTATCTCTATAAAATGTGCGCTAATATAAGCTCATACAGGGTGGCGCTCAGTGGCAGCAATTATTGCGTGACCCTATTTTCTGGCTACCATATTAGTTACGATGTCGACAAACTAATAACGCCGTTTATTTTTATGTTTACGATCTATAATAAGTCAACTGTTATCAAGAAAGGTTTTGAGGTATACGTGCACGAGCATACTACGATATTATTCAATGAATACCAGCGCGCCGCCAAGAACGTAAACGTTGCTCAAGGTAATATGGCTCGATTGCAATATAGCACGTCCATTGTGAAGTACATGTACGATCGACCTGGTCATATAAGATGTAACGAGTCATTTGTTAGAAACGAATGTATTTCGCGCTGTATTACCGGACAATATTATCGTGAATCAGGTGGTCTATTATCGTGGACATATGATCTAAATTCAAGCCTAAAATTTGTCGAAAATTTGACAGTAGCTCTTCGAATTATGCAACCTTGCTACAAATCGTGCGGCATGAAAACAGATTGCTATAAGGAGTATTATAAAATTAATGTCAATAGTGAAACGTTAACGATGACAGGTACGCCATTAGGATCGTATACCCTGGCGCTAGAACCGCCATCCGATCCTTGGGTTACCTACAAAATACAGCTTAAGATGGATCCCGAGGAGTACCTGTGCCTTATGGCCAGCATTATTAGCTTATGGTTCGGCTTCTCTATTATTATGTTCACGACATTTGTTTCGGATTTTGCGTTGAATATTAAGAATAAGTTTTATAAACAACAAATTAACGTTCAGATTATTCATTCAAATAAAGTTATTGTTAAAAATAATAATAATGTAATCTCTGAACTACCCGGTATAAGATAATTAT